GCTTAGGAATGCAATGGCCAATCAGAGGCGTTCAGATGAGTCATCGCTGAAACTCATCAGTTTTGAGTGCGCGCGCGTTCGCTGACTGAATTCCGGACGCGCAAAGGTATGTGCAATGTAATTAAGAGATTCATTTCACAGTGTAGACAGCTTAAGTGATTATAACGATAGTTTTGTTTTTTTGAGAGTGCTTAAACTCGAGTTAGATCTAAGTTAGTGATGTCACCTTCTGTATATTAATTTATTCGCTGTTTGAATAACCTTGGAAAGGAAACGTTTTATAATTATCAATTTCTAATGTTTTTATTAAATTGTAATCACGTTAAATACAAATTCAGTCCCATTAAACATATTTTATTAGCCTAGCCTACATGACACCCATGTCTGGTTCTTGCCTAAAAACACGGGTTTATGATGTTTGTAGTTAATGGATTTGGCTGCTTTTAGCCTTACCCTGGAGTTGGATCTGTTTCGACCTCACTCTGACCGTCACTAACGGTCTAAATAGAATGATAACCTTCGTTCCGCCTTCTCTCGAGACCTTATGTAAACAAAGTCATGCCCATGACCCCGGAGGCGGAACTCCCGCACGTATAAAAGCGGGTTTTACTTCCGGCTCAATCTCTTTACCTTTCTCGCCTTGAGAGACCTGGTACTGGTAAGAACTATCTAATTTATATTTCACCATTCAATTCTTCACCAGATGGTGCAGGTGCCTTGAGTCCCTGTGAATTGTGGTGTTTTTTCTCTGCTGAATTGCAGTTGGTAGAATTTACTATCACTGCATTATTGTTCATTAGGCTAGTTATATATACTAGCAGTTCAATTTGGGATTATTCTGATTTGTTTTTCAGAGTATTCATCAGTGGATATTGAATATACTTCATAAAAAAATTTTTTTTGGTGAGTATTGTATATTTTCTCATATCCTATATCACTGTTCGCAGTTGTTGGGATTGATAAAGGCCTGCTAAGTACGTTCGCGTACTGGTGCGGGTCTTTGGATTCGTGTCAGCTTGATATATTTCACTGCTGTTCGCAGCCAGTGTGTTGTGTGTGGCTTACCTACTGCGCCAGGAGTATTATGGCTTCTCAGTGCTGCAGGTTTTGTCGCTCTGCTAGAACTGAGGGCTGTTCATCTTGCTCTGGAAGCCCTATTTCCGATTATTTGCTACAAACATGTGCTGATAAGAACGGACAGTACCTCTGCAATTTACCACATAAATCACCAAGGAGGGACGAGATTGCTAAGATGCCTTCAGGTGGCAACATCTATTAACATGGGCATGTCCACGGCTGTCCTCGCTAAGAGCAATCCACATCCCGGGGACAGCGAACAGAGCAGCTGACATTCTGTCCAGGACGGGGCCTCTCCCAGGGGAGTGGCGGCTACACACAGAGGTGATAGCCCAAATTTGGGCTCGATATGGGACAGCCCAGGTAGATCTTTTTGCATCCGCGGAAACAACCCATTGCCCGAGATGGTACTCTCTCAAAGTACAGGACGGCAGTTTGGGCCTGGATGCTCTGTCACAAGAATGGCCGACAGACTTATTGTACGCTTTTCCCCCCTTTCCCCTAATACCTCAAGTTTTTCGAAGGATCAGGGAAGGTTGCCACAGGATTTTGCTAGTTGCTCCACGTTGGCAAGGAAGGCCATGGTTTTCAGAGATGATTCAGCTGATTCGGGGTCAACCGTGGCAGCTACCATCACCTTTGTTTACATAAGGTCTCGAGAGAAGGCGGAACGAAGGTTATCATTCTATTTAGACCGTTAGTGACGGTCATCCTTCGGTCTCACAGATCCATAGTTATAGTCATAACTTACGTTCACCCTCCGCCTATGCCCCTGCAGTCATGGTCTAGAACCGCCCCTATATAAAAGTAATTTACGTTCTATTTTACTTTATGTTTTATTTGCTGAATCGCGGCTGCAATAAACTAAACTAGAACATATTAAATTACAGTTAACACCTCTATTAATAAACCTTAAAAAAATAATGGTAAACAGCAATTATATAGGCTATTGGGCATTTTTAACGCATATGACGCAAAAGAATCACTGACACAAACTATTCGAAAAAAATGAGTCGGAGCTATACTATACCAGCTGTCATTTGAGTAAGGGTGAGGGCATAGCCAAATGGAAAAGCTTGTACCCATGTGTTTACTTTAGACATATCTGATAATGTTAACAGCATTTCATTTAGCCTT